AGCCCCCTCCTGTATGTTCAGGTTTTGACTTTTGGTTAGGTCTTTGGTCAAAATCAGTCACTATAGGCAAAATAATTTAAAGTGAAAATATCTGTGGCCGTAAAAACTACAAGAAAACTTTCTGGACAGGCATTTATAGAATGTCTTCTACTTTACCATCCATAACACAAACACAAAACATCTGGAGTTTCATCTCTTTCCGTCACTGAACTTGGGAATACAGTCCCCTCTTTACTTAAGGGACGCAGTGATTTTTGATGTAGCATTCCGCAGCGTCTCCAGCGAGGCTGTGAGCAGTGACCGCGCACCTCCCGAGGTCTCAGCGCTTCCATATTAGCTGGAAACTGGATTATGAGGTCACTGGATGGTTAGTATTAAAACACTTCCATTAAAGAGTCACCCTCACCTTTGAAATCTCGCTTTTTCGTCATTGTAGAAACAAGGACGCATTTCTTTATTCTGACGAACAATAGGTGTATCTCAGGCAGCTGAACGATGCTAAACAGACAACCCGAGAATCTCAAGATCCTTTCAATAGCCTTTTGAAAACTGTGAGGTTCTGTTGCAAATGGGAAAGCTGCAGGAACAGCGATTGGTGTACCTTTCTCCTTTACCTTGATCAAAACAAGAAGTCATATCATAAAGTAAATCACGCGGCGTTAGTAAGAGCATCTCGCAGGAGGTTTTGCAGAAGACGGAGCTATGTAATGCAACCTAACTGCATTTTGCACGCAGGCAAAAGGATTAGTGTTTACAAGCCAGCGTTACATTTTATACTGTTATTTTTAGTGGTGAATCTGAAATTATCCCAGCAGTAGGAAAAATCACTGCAAGTAGGCTATATCTACAAAATCATAAGAGAAGGCTGAGAGGGGACCTTAGAAATGCCTCTAAATATCTGCAGGGTGGGTGCCAGGAGGATGGGGCCAGACTCTTTCCAGTGGTGCCCAGCAACAGGACAAGGGGCAACAGGCACAAACTGAAGCCTGGGAAGTTCCAGCTGAACACGAGGAAGAACTTCTTCCCTCTGAGGGTGACGGAGCCCTGGCCCAGGCTGCCCAGAGGGGCTGTGGAGTCTCCTTCTCTGGAGATACTCAAGACCCACCTGGACGCGGTCCTGTGCAGCGTGCTCTGGGTGATCCTGCTTTGGCAGGGGGGTGGCTGGGTGACCCACAGAGGTCCCTTCCACCCCCTACCATGCTGGGATTCTGTGATTCTGTGTATTTACCACCTCTCAGCTTTTGCAGATCTGTTTAAGGAAGAGGGATTACTTCTTAGCAACCACTGCTCTTTGAGACTTGTCCCTATGCAATCCTGATTAAAGGATTCCAAGATGTTTCTGGAGAAGAGGTGTGGGAAGCTAAGGTGAAGTTAGAAAGTCTACAAGCTCAGACTAGCTCTGTTTCTTCCACCTAGCTTAGAGAGTCCTAAAATGCAAAGAGGTTGCTGTTAGCAGCGGTATATGTGGGTAGGATGAGTAACAACCTGAGGAGAAGAACCACTAACAGATCACTGTTTTCTTCTCTCCTTCCCGTTCACACAGGGCCAGCAAACGCTGCCCGCTCGGAGGTGCCGGCTCTGAACCATAGCTCCATTTTTCTGTACCCCGTATCTGAATGGGATGCCAGTGCCAACAAATGACAACAATTGTCATCAGAGTCATGTTTGTATACTACTGTGTTTCAGGTCTAATAGTAAACCTAAGAAGATGTAGGTTTTCCATTTCTTCACGGCACAGATGGCAGCAGCATGAGTTTTCACCACCTAGCCCCACATTTGCAGTCACAACCTTGTGGAAAATCTAGGGCAATTTAAACATGATGAAGGTTACCAGGCTTGATGCGAACATAGCAGAGCTCCTCAGGAATGATTCAAAGCAGCCTGTTTGACAAGATTTTGTGCTCTTCCAGTGAAATTCTGTAGGTGGGATATTACTTTCCATGAAATTTCACAAATCGTGCACAATCCACGGTGGCATAACCAATCGCAGGGCTCTCACCAACACCCACCACCACCACTGGAGAACTGCTCTGACCATCACACAGGAAACTAAGGAGGAGCTTTAAAAAAATTTACACCGCGAAAACTGGATCGATATCAGATTGTACCAGAAGTCTCTCACCCTTGAATTGTATGAAATTCAAAGAAGAATGTCTACATCCATCTTAACCTTAAATCTCAAAAGGTAACTTACAATCATTTTCCGTTAGTTCCATAAAATTTATCAAACAATCTCTCCTTCCACCACTCCAAGAAATTTCTTATGTTCCCAAAGTCCATAGACAAGCGGATACTGGCAGAAAGAAGACTATACTGGATTGGAGGAACTCTAAATAGAACTTGAAGAAATCATGACGATAACTGAAGGGTGACACTCACAAACCATTTCTCCCCTTCAACCATGGTAACTACAGAAACATTAGCTCCACAGGAAAGTTAACACTTACTATGATCTTTTTTTGAAATAATCAATTGAAAAGATAATTTTTGCAGTGATAACTTGGTGCCCACGGATAACTTAGCCCTTTGCATTCCACATTGTGGCCTGCTGTAGGTGACTCTGTGGCCTGCTGTAGGTGACCCTGCTTCGATGCAAGGGTTGGACTAGACAATCCACAGAGGTCCCTTCCAACCCCTACCATTCTGTGATTCTGTGATTCTGTGATTCTACGTGATTGCTAAATATTTCAGAGGTGAACACAGCTCTGTTTGTCTGAAAATAGATTAAGATCAGTAATTCATTCCAGGCAGATATGTAAACCGCTACTACATAAGAACGTGCAGACACTACTCAGGTTTTTGAAATATTTATGCTATGTCTTTTCTCTTTATAAATTAGACCAGCTCACTATCACGAAGCTCAATAACTGAAAAAATCCCATATTGCCATAGGCTACTTTCTCCTGTAAAATACAGATTCTTAATCTTTAACATCGGTAGGTATGATGATATTATCTAACGCGATCTACTGGATCATGTGGGGAAGATAATTTCATAGAATCATAGAATCATAGAATGGTTTGGGTTGGAAGGGACCTTAAAGATCATCTGGTTCCAACCCCCCTGCCTTTATGGAGATCAGTAATGTGTTTTCTATTGATGTATAACCTCAGGAAGCACCTAGGTTGAACAGGGTGCCCGACACAAGGGTCTAGGTTCATTCTGGGTGCCCTAGCACTGCTGAGATACCCACACCGCAGGACTATTGGAGACCTCCATCCCTTCGGTGTGGCAACTCCCAGCCTGGTGAGCCTAAGACATCTGAAACCTCTGGCTAGGTATGCCACTACTTGTCCCAGTTTGTATCTGAAGACACGATGACATGCAGATTCTCTTGCTTGCTTTGATAGTTTGCTTCAATGTTTCACCTTTCTGTTGCTGTTGTTAATAAATTCTGTCTAATTGCTCAATAGAATATGAAATATATTTTAGTATCTGTCCCAGAAACACTGTGTGCAGGTGTAAAATTGCCTGCTAATGCCTACTCACTATATCCCTGATTTGATATCTGAAGGCTGCATCAAGGCTGATAGGATAAGAGGCAATGGTCTCAAGTTGCATCAGGGGAGATTTAGACTGGATATTCGGAAAAATTTCTTTACTGAAAGAGTGGTCAGGCCTTGGACCAGGCTGCCCAGGGTGGTGGTGGTGCCCCCATCCCTGAAGGGGTTCAAAAACCATGTGGATGTGGCACTTCAGGACATGGTTTAGCAGGCATGGGGGTGTTGGGGTGATGGCTGGACTCGATGATCTTAGAGGTCTTTTCCAACCTATGATTCTATGATTCTATGATTTATTCTTTTTGTTACATCACACTAGGTATTTATAGAGCATTGCTTCTCAGAATCACTGCTTTCCAGGGTACATCCCCCCGTTTTTACATATTTGTTGCTACACGTATTGCCTTGCAAATGTCAAAATTTATATTATTAAAATAGGTCCAGGTCAAAAATAGTGATGACTGTTTTATATACCTGACCTGAAGTTCTTATGGTTTAGAAATCCATCAGGCTAGCAGGTGTACCAAGTACTAAGTATTTACTTCAACATCCCAAATAAATAAACATTTAATAGGATATAATAAACTTCCTAAGGCACTTTTGTACCATCCTGTAGAAGTTAATAGAGAATTACCTCCCTAAACAAACCAATCTTATGGTTCAAAATAGGGTTAGGAAATTTTTTGTTTTCTGCAATAATAAGTTTTATGCATAATTGTCATAGAAATCCACCTTTCTCTTCCCTAGTGAATGCCATAGGCTTGCCCTTAAGGACTAACATTAGCACATTCTAAATGAGAGCTCCAACAATTCCCAGATTTGGGTAAAGCCCATATCTTGGTAAAAAGCTGCTGATTCTGATCTATTTTAGGATGTTTCTTTCTTCCAGAAGTAATTAATTTCTCCAGAGAAACACTTTGTTCAAGTTTTACAAAAGGGCTCAAAGAATGACATTTTTATAGAAAATAGCATGGTTACAATGAAATTAAACATCTTCTCCTCCACAGTTGGCCACCTTTCCAGCTCTGTTGGCACCCATCGGGAAGCCTAATGGACCATCCACCAAGTAAAGCACAAAACGTTGGGTTTGGGGCACACAAACGGTGACAGCTCTGCAAGCACAGTAGATCCCAACAGTTTGAGTTCCTTGCATGACAGAAGGTCTGGAGAATCATGGACCACCTTCGGAATTTTGTTTAAACTAACAAACGATCTTACAGGAATTATCCTACATAAAAAGCTACTCTTGTGGAATTTCTGTGGAACAAAATAAGGGTTTAAATTTTCTGCTTGTATAACTCAAAAAATACTTTTAATATACTCCTTTTGGGGCATGGACATCTCCCAAAACGACCAGTGGCTTTAGCTGATTGTAGCGATTAGAAAGTGGCAATAGCAGCCCAGATTCTGAAACTCTAAGGACTTAGGCTGAAAATAAGAGATTTTGCATGCAGTAACACTATACAGCTTAGGGCTTTTATTTTAAAACTGATATCTTACCAAATACAGCCATCTGTGTTCCCTCCGGGAAAGGCTCTACCATTCTGTTTCCATTGACATGATGTTTATCTAGAAGAGGGGAAAAAAAGTCAAAATGTAATAGAATATATGCTTTGTGTAAAACCAACTGGTTTTTCCTTACTGAAACCTGAAGTCTGATTTATCAAAGCTGGCTTGTACAATTCATCAATATCTAGAACTTTACACTCTGTGAGCCTATTTTTCAAAACCGCTGCTGTCCACAGGTCCCAGGCTATAGACCGGAGCTGCATTTCAGTTTAGTGGTTAAGACAAGCCAGCTGACACTAACGTGACGCACATATACCATAGAAATATAGAATCATAGAATCATTAAGGTTGGAAAAGACCTCTAAGATCATCGAGTCCAACCGTCACCCCAGCACCACCATTCCTACTAAACCATGTCCTGAAGTGCCACATCTACACGGTTTTTGAACACCTCCAGGGATGGGGACTCCACCACCATCCTGGGCAGCCTGGTCCAAGGCCTGACCACTCTTTCAGGAAAGAAATTTTTCCTAATATCCAATTTGAACCTCCCCTGACGCAACTTGAGACCATTGCCTCTTATCCTATCACTAGTTACCTGGGAGACCAACCCCACCTCACTACAACCTCCTTTCAGGTAGTTGTAAAGAGCAATAATGTCTCCCCTCAGCCTCTTCTTCTCCAGACTAAACAACCCCAGCTCACTCAGCTGCTCCTCATAAGACTTGTTCTCCAGACCTCTCCCCAGCCTCGTTGCTCTTCTAGAGAGCACTATGCAGTAGCAGTCACTGTCAAAGGTGGAGTACTCTGTAAAGCAATCTCCTCACGCAAGCAGAAAAAGCAGGGAAATCATAGAATCACAGAATCACAGAATGGCAGGGGTTGGAAGGGACCTCTGTGGGTCATCTAGTCCAACCCTCCTGCCGAAGCCGGGTCACCTACAGTAGGCTGCACAGGCTTGTCCAGGCAGGTCTTGAATATCTCCAGAGAAGGAGACTCCACAACCTCCCTGGGCAGCCTGTTCCAGTGCTCCTGTTCCTCTCTGTTGCTGCCTTGATATGTTGGTGCTCAGCCACAAGCATTTTTATATGACCAAGCAAGAATTATGTGTATTTTCTGCAGCAGTGTGGTGGCTTGACCTTGGCTGGCTGTCAGACGCCCACCCAGCCGCTCTCACTGCCCCTTGTCAACAGGGACAGGGGGAGAAAAGAAGATGGAAAACCTCATGGGTTGAGGTAAAATACAGTGAGGTTGATTACCAATTACCATCACAAGCCGTCTGGACTCAACTTGAGGAAAACGAATTTAATTTATTGCCAATTAAAATATGTTTGGATACTGAGAAACAAAGACAAATTAAAACAAAATCTTCCCCCCACCTCCCGTTTTCCCCAGTTCAGCTTCGCCCCATCCCCGACTCTGACCTTTGGGCTCACAGGGCTGTTTCTCACACTTTTTTCCTCGCCCCTCACTGCCGTGCCACGTTTCGCCCTTTTTTTACATATCTTCTGCCGTCATAGAGAAGCTCGGCTGTGTCCTGTGGCAGGGGCTGTGCGGTGCCAAGACCGCTGCAACCGGCTGCGTCCGGCATGGGGCAGCCATGGCCTCGCGTCACAGAGACCACCCCTGCAGCCCTCCCACTGCCAAAAAGTGGATATTTACCCCCAACACAACCAGCAATGCTCGCTAAAATGAACATTTACCCAACATACTCTAATGCTTTCACAGCAGTCACACCTCGGACTGTTTTAACGTTATTAAATTACTGCCACTATCAGAAACCCCTGTAACAGACCAACTGTAACTGCTCGTCCGTCAACCAACGCTTTATCAAGAAGAGCGGAGCACAAAATGGAAAATCAAACCTGTTGTTTTTGTTGGAGCTTGGAGAAGAGAAGGCTCCAGGCAGACCTTGTTGCAGCATTCCAGTACTTAAAAGGGGGCTTAGAAGAAAGACAGGGACGGGCTTTTTCTCAGGGCCTTTTGCAACAGGACAAGGGGTGATGGCTTTAAGTAAATTTAGACTAGATATAAGGAAGAAATTGTTCACAATGAGCATGGTGAAACCCTGGCCCAGGCTGCCCGGAGAGCTGGGAGCTGCCCCATCTCTGGAAACATTCAAGGCCAGTTTGGACGGGACTCTGAGCAACCTGATCTGGTTGGACTTGTCCCTGCCCATGGCAGGGGGTTGGACTGGATGGCCTTTAGAGGTCCCTTCCAACCCAAACCAACCTATGATTCTCTGACTCATTCCATGATTCCATTAATCATGATTCTTTTTAGGCAAGAAGGGGAGAGGAGCACAAAACAGAAAACAAAAGCTATTGTTTTTGCTAGACCTTGGAGAAGAAAAGGCTCCAAGGACACCTTGTTGTGGCCTTTCAGTACTTAAAGGGGTTTTATAAGAAAGACAGGGACAGGCTGTTTAGCAGGGCCTGTTACGGTAAGACAAGGGGTAATGACTTTAAACTAAAAGAGGGGAGATTTAGACTGGATATGAGGAACAAATTTTTTACAGTGATGGTCGTGATACCCTGGCACAGGCTGCCCAGAGAGGTGGGAGATGCCCCATCCCTGGAACCATTCAAGTCCAGACTGGATGGGGCTCTGAGCAACCTGATCTGGTTGAAGACGTCCCTGCTCATGGCAGGGGTTTGGACTAGATGGCCTTGAAAGTTCCCTTCCCACCCAAACCATTCTATGATTCAAATGTACAATTGTCCTCAGTGACTTGAAGTCGGTAGCCCCAGCACCTTCCAGTTCCCACCAGGTCTCCAGAACAGAGATGTTTTTCACACAAGAAACTTTCTCTATGCTACGGCCAAATTTCTTCCATTTTTCTTCAAAAAACTGAGGCATGACACAAAATTAGCAGAACTGCATCTGCTGTTTTCATGGAAACTGTAAAGCTGGTACATTTGAGGTTTACTTCAGTTAAACGGTCCTTTTCTAGCTGTTATGGTGACCCACTCCTAGGTGAAAGACCATTTTCTCCAGAGAGCAGCTGAGCTCTGGGAAATCTGGTCTGTGGAAGCAGATAGATGAGCTACAGCGACCACGAGCTGTAGCTCAAAGACTGAATTATACATCCTTGCACAAGGATACGGGAGTACGTAAGACAGAGCACCTACACAGAGCATTTGCATAAAAGCCAAATGAAGGCTGAGACTTTCAGTCTCAAGGAACACAAAGCCTACAGGAAAGTGCAATATTATGGCATCACAGGTGCTCACAAGGATGATTTCTGTGCAATAAAATAGTAGAAGCCTGGCTTTACTCCCTCCGTGACAAGATGGCTCCCAGGGGCTAGAAACGGCTCAGTTTCCAAACCAAGTAATATATTCTTCACATCCCAATGCACTTCACTTTCTTCCCAATGCACTTTCCTGAGCAGAAAGCAAAAATCTACTCCTTGTAATAACACAGGCTTATCACTATTGTATAATCAGGGTTGTATATATAACCTGGAAGGGCTGCATGTATAACCTGGAAATTAGCTCTCCAGCCTCCAAACAAAATGAAACATACAGATCCACAACAGAATATTCCCCACCTTTTTCACTGGCATCCCCAAGTTTATTTCTTGCTCTGCTAAGACCCATTGTCAGCAATGGCGGAAAGAAATAAATCTGCCTGAACTCAAAATACAGGTTTCTGTTCACAAAATACTTTCCAGGGAGAAAGCCAAGAGATTTTCCTGCACATGCATTATTTTACTTCCCGTAGTACAGAACCTGGCGAGGAATAAAACAGGTCAAATTAAGAACATGGGATTGCCTCACCAATTCTCTGAAAGCAACGTTTTTCATTAGGAGGGAGGCAGAGCACAGTACTCATCCCAGCTGGCATCAGACATTTATCAACAGTCAATGAGCAGGGAAAATCACGGATATCTGTGATCGGAGCAAGAGGTGCCATGAAGTCAACTGTTCGCATTTAGGAAGATTGAATGCCCTTGCCGCACGAGCCAAGAGAGGGGATTTAGGCAAGACATCATTGGGAGGTTCCAGAGTGGGAGTAATATGACCAGTGCCATACAAGGTTTCAACCTCATTAGCTGTAGCTTGCATTACTAACATGATCTACAGCCATCTCAGATGAGTGAGCAGTCAGAAAAAGTATGAAACGTCATGCAAGATCAAATAAACTAACCCTACCCTAGTCCTGATAGCTGCCTTCATTTCAAGAGTGAATGACATATCTGATGTATGAAGTAGTTATCATTTCAAATGGCAAGGCTTTCAATATATTAAAATTAAAATTAAACTTTTAGAGGTGAGATGGGTTTGAATGAAAGTAATATTTTCAGAGTTCTCAAGTTGCCTTCCAATGCCTTCATACTTTTGTTTCAAAGAAAGATCTTACCCACATAAAATAACTTCTGTTCTTGTCATTCGTACTTTGTTCTACAATTTTTCCAGTATTCCCTGCCCCCTGTCTAGATGCACTAAATAGTAAAAACAAAAAAATCTACATCGATTTTCACAAAACTTACATTCAACCTTAGGAGGAAAGCAACACATAATATGAAGAGCCTCTCCACAAGCACACTATTCAAAGAACATTGCAATCTGGGGCTTTTTACTGAACAATCTTTTCTTGTGAAAACATAAGCTTTAATTCTCACCTACAAATTGGACTGAGTAGCTCCAGAAAATCATAAACATTTTGGCCCCATGGAATTGGAAAAAAATTAGAAGGACTGTCCCTGTAACTTGACAACAGAAAGAATAAATGACTTTTCCAAACTCATCATCGTTCCAGAGAAGAGGGCTTACAATAAGATAAAAGCCATTGTTACAGAGACACAGGAAGATTGTCAGTGAACACTGAACTGGTTATCAGAAGTTAACTTCAGCTTCCTAGTGCTGAAAACAACAGCTTTCGCCCTAATATTGTCAATATTTACAGGGTTAATCCTTCAGTGGACTACAACAGTATTCAGGCACTGAGAAAAGTCGAATTGGGAGGACACGGATGTCTTTACGCCATCTTCTTGATCGTCTAAATCCTCAGGCTTTCAACAGAAAGCCAAGTGGTAAGGAAGAATTTTATTTTCTGTTTGATTGATACTCAAGTGGTCAGCATTGTCCTGAACGTAAATTCACAACCAAGCAACGGGGGACTTCCTCTCAGAACTGTCGAACGCCGCTCCATCCTCAACTGCAAAAATTCTTTATCATTTTTCAAACAAAGCCTGGAGGTCTTGACATTCAGCTTTGGCTTCAGGCACAGTCTGCTTTAGACAGGTGTAGTGCCTGGCCCGCTCGCCTTAGGTTCTCTGGATTTTCATAGAAATATTCCTTCAGAGACCCTCTGTGTCTGTGAAACAGCACACCATATGGAAAGATAATCAAAAGTTGCTGAACAGGTCCTCAAAATTTCTTCGACATTACTCAGTCTTTGCAACCTATTGCTCTACAGCTTCTAACACAGTCCTACAACCACCCTTTGCTAAAGTCTCACGAACTTCGAGTAAAGTTCTGTCCACCCATGGATTAGGCTATGCCTGTACTAGTAAACTATTAAAACAAACAAGTCATATCTAGAAACTATTTGAGAGAGTGTTAATTGGAAATCATGTTAGATCCCATCCTAGCAATTTATCAGCGTGGACAATGAAGTTGCAGTGCCTGGACCTGTTCTGTGGCACATTTTAATTTATCAGTATACACTTCATTTATCTTCACAGTTCCGTGTATGTCGATGGTATCACACCTGTAATAGATAAATTAAACAACGAAAGATGTCCAAATGAGAAAATTTTATAAAAAGTCCTTCCTTTCGAACCAGCCTGACTTGGGTTCTAACCAGATTTACCATTTCGCCGTAAGCCCAGAGGAAATTTAAAGCTCAGCTAAATAAAAACTCACTGCTGTTAAGTTAGATTCCTAACAAAGTCATTGCCACAAAATTTACAGTGCTGATCAGACCTTTAACAGAATCGAACTTGCAAATACCAGAGGCTGAAGTCTGTGCTTCTTTCTGAAATACGCAAAATTCAAGCCCCGGTCTAACACAGAGCACTCACTCGTCGGCAAAATCCCCTCTCACGGCAGCACAGATGAAATGCAAGTCACCCCACGAAGGGAATCAGCAGTGCAGAAAGCCTACACAAGGCGTTTTGCATAACTGAAGATATCCAAGGGGAACTGTAGGACACCCAGAGTCATTAATGAACTTGAGTTCTCTATTTGTGGACCCAAATGCAGCTGCTTAAAAAGCTTTGCCTTCCAGAGAATGCTGATCCAGCCTTGAGCCAAGATCAGAAATTTTCTGGTCTCATAATATTCAATCTCTAGCAATCACTGTAAAGATTTCAGAAAGTTTATTTTTTTATTAGTGTGAGATTCACACGTTCTTCGTATTTATCTTCTGATTTTTAAACCATTAGGGAATATGTAGACGACATATCCAACGTTGTTTTATCAGAGCAGCCAGAAAGCTATTATTTTTAAATGAAAACTGAGATTCTCCGATAATCAAATTAATCGAGGAGTAGGGGTCATTTTTATACACAAGGACTGTTAATTTTCCATGGTAAGCACAGCCAGGAATTGAATTGAAAACAGCTGATTAGCCAATTACCACGAGCCTTCTCC